GTTTGTAAATCCAAATGTAAATAATTATATTTTTCAAAATATGAGTGAAGAATGGATGCTAAGTGAAGAAATGAAATGATTTAGTAAAATTGCGTATTCAAAGAAAATTGAGTTTATTAATGCAAAACTAATTAAAAAAATTTCATTAGGCATTTGGCATCCAATACCTATAATATGTGAAGAGGCAGACCTTCAAAAAACTGACAGTTCTTTAACAAGACCACAAATTTTATCCATCATTAATTCTTTAATTTCTCTTTTAGATGATGCAGATCGATCATGTTTTTGAAGTTTGTCAAATAAGTTTTGTAATAACTTAATAAGTATTCATCAAAAAATTAGAAATATATTAGCTAACAATGGTGTTAATACTAATAATGAAGTGTAAAATGGTTAAAGCAATTTTTTTATTGTATTTTCTGAATTTATTTTTGAAAAAATTATAGTAAGAAAAATTTTATTTTTTGTATAGATTTAATATTGAGCAGTAAAGTGCGGTATTGTTATTGTATAGGAATATAGAAAGTGCAATAGAATTATATATAATTATGCTGTAATAAACAAATGTAAATTCATATATAAAAATATTTTTAATAAAGATCATTTTAATAATAATTCAGTAATTGCAGAATGTAAAAGTTTTTTATTAATTTGTATTGAGTTAATTACTTTATAATTAATTTTAATTTTGGCTTTTTGGAATCCTTTTTTGTCATGTAGAAAACTAGATACATGCTTAAAGTAATTATGCACATATATTAAACTTAAAATTTATATATCAGTACTGCAGTATATAGTACACAAATTTTATTCAATTTTTTTTATTTATTTAGTATGATAATTAACAATTGAATTTTACACAACAATGATACAATTTTGTATTACTCAAAATAACATTTTGATGAAAAATGAAACAAGAACTGACCAATATGGAATTGAATGCCTATTCTAAATACCCAAATGTCTAATAATTATTATATAGCTCTACTCTAATCAATGTAAAGAATACCTCTTATGAAGAATGAAATAATAGCCACCAATGCGGAATTGAATGCCTATTCTAAATACCCAATTTCTAATAAGCATTATACTCCTCTATTCTAATCAATGTAAAGAATACCTCTTATGAATGATCAGTATTGACAAATAATAACAATATAGTAATATTAAAATAATGCTGTTAGTAAGATCATTGACAAGACAGCAAGAGTTATAAAAAATGATCACCTAGGTACTTCAGTATAGCAGTATTTGCTTAAAACCAGGCCTGACAATACTAATCCAGTAATCCGTTCTGGGGAATAATATTGACTACAGATTGTAAAACTAGAAGGCTTAAGCTAATTAAACCTTAATACTGTAGTATTTTTGGTATTAGGTTGGTAATTCTCTAACTCTTACAGTGCAATGACGATGGGATATGATCAAGTAAATGAGTAGCCCGAAACTCATATATAAGTGCACACAAGTAAATTTTTTGTATTAGCAATAATTAGACAGCAAGTAGTGTAATATTAGAACAACATTGTAGTTATATGTATATAAGTACATGCTTTTATTGCATTAAATTTCAAAAGTTTTTACTGTTTAATATTAAAACTGTAAAAGAATCGTATAACAGAATAATATATGCTCTTAATTTGATTGGTTAATCGTTGTAGTATGTGGAACAATCTGGAATGAAGTCTAGAATAATCTGAATAATAATCATTGTCATGGCTGAAGCTTGAAATAGCTGAAGCTTGAAATTAGGGAACTTGAGTTAAAAATATAAACTCTACCAAAATTTACTTATACTCTTTTATTATCAAAACTAACCCTAAAACCTAATCTAACTATTAAAAAAAGGTTAAAAAAATGCACCCCAAAATCTCTAAAAATTTCATATTAAAATAATTAAAATTTCAAGCTTCAGCTGTGACAATTATTGCTAAATTGAGTATGATCATCGATTACCAAATTTTGAAAAATTCCTAACTATAATAAGAATATATAAAGAATAATAAGGATATTATATTAAAAAACTAAAAAATTATACAAATTTATATAGTGTTATGTTTGTTATTAAAAATATTTTTGTCTTTTTTATTTGTCATAACTGTAATATTCAAAAAAAGTGCTACTAATTAATTTTAATAAAAACAAATAAAAAGAAAATAAGTATTGAATAACAAACTACTATTTATTTAATTTTTATAATAAAATAAATTATTCTGAAGACTAATTTAAGAAAATAAACAAATTTAAAAAAATTAAACTAAAACTAGAAGATAATTAAATTTATCTAAAAAAATAAATATTAATTAAATATAAAAACACATACCAAACCAAAAGTCAAATTCAAAAACATATTTAAATAACACTTAAAAGCCTAGAAATATAGCAAATAAAACCTATCTAAAAAATAAAATAGATACTAGTAAATACAAAAAACTTAAAAAAAACTATACTAGAAGTCTTATTTCAAAAAAATTACTAAACTTATCTAAACGATATTCAAATTCAAAACCAAAATAGTAAAACCTACTTAAAAAATTAGCTTTACTATTAATTAAACTTAAAAACAATACCAAACAAAATAACTAAATTTAAAAAAACAAGCTAAGTTTAAAAAAAATATAAAAAAAAACTAAAGACTAATTTCAAAATATAAATAAAATCTACTAAAAAAAGAATATATTAATTATAATTATAAATAAAAACAAAAACAATACCCAAAACAGAAATGCAACTTTTAAATAGAAAAATAAAACTTACTTGAAGGTTAAATATAAAAATAATACAGTATCAAACTGAAAACAATATAGCATCAACTGAAAACTAATTTCAAAAAAATAAGTAAAATCTGTCTAAAAAAAGTAAATATTAGTAGATAAAAAGAAAACAAAACCAAACTAAAAAAAAGCTAATTTCAAAAAAACAAGCAAAACTTATCTAAAGATTAACTATAAAAATAATAAGAATGCTAAAACTGAAGACTAATTTTAGAAAGACAAGTAAAACCTGCTTACAAAAAGAAGTGAATATTAGTAATACAAAGAAAACAAAACAAAAATAAAAATTAAAACAAAAACTAATTTTAAGAAGACAAGTAAAATTAAAAGTAAAATATTATATTAAAATTAAAAATCTAATTCTAGAAAAACCTGCCTAAAAAAGTAAAGATTAAAAAACAAAAAACAATTTAAAATAAAAAAGCTAATTCTAAAAAAACAAATACAGAAAGACAAGCAAAGCTTGCCTAAAAAAATGGTGTTAGTGTAAATGAAAAAAAAACAAAAATAAAACCAAAGATTGAAAAGCTAATCCCAAGAAAACAGATAAAACTTATCTAAAGGTTAAATCTAAAAATACAATACCAAAACTGATGATTGTTTCTAGAAAACAAGTAAAATCAGTTTGAAAAAAGAAGTTGATATTAGTAAACACAAAGAAAACAAAAAATCAAAAATCAAAAGCTAATTCTAAAACATACAAAAATTGGAAAGCTAATTCCAAAAAAAACTAGCAAAAATTAAAATAGAAAAGAAATTTACGCTAGTTAAACACCAAGAAACAAAACAGTGAACGCAATAAATAACACCCACCTCAAAGGCGGTAAAACTACAATATTAAATAACATTAGCAGTTAATTAACGTGTTTAAAAAAAAAGATTATCAACTAGGAACTGGAAACTGGTATAAGTCCGGAGCCCATAACAGCATTCAATTAATGGCCCTAACCCCTGAAAAATCTGGTCATGTATATCGCAGATCAAAATTTTCAGGGGCGTTTCAAACGGAAAATGCCGAAACTACGTTTTTGATGCATCAAAATCATAATTTCAGTCATCAAAGCGCATAAACATGTAAGTCCTCCGCTTCGCTCCGGACAATAATCGTCAATGACGATCACTGCAGTTACACAAAACTTATTTGTTAATCGACCCCGCACACGATGCAAAAATATTTATCCAATAATTATTATTTTATTTTTATTAATTTAGTAAATAAAGTATTTACGATTTAATTTCATTTTATTTATATTAATCTAAAAAGTAAACATATTTATTATTACGGCTAAAGCTAAAAATGGATAAAGCTAGGAATTTTAAAAAATTTTTAAAATTTTTTGAGATGTATTTTTTATAGTTAGCTTAGAATTTAGGGTTAGTTCGCTATTTATCGCAACCAATCAGATCGAAAGATCAAGTGTAACAACGATAAATAATTGAAAAAAAAAAAACTTTAGTAGCTCAATAATTTACGTATAAAACAATCTTGTGTGTCCTAATAAAACAAATACTTGCTAAGCTTTATATTCTACTCAAATCCTAAATCTGACCTAACCTGTACCCTAATCATGAAGCATTATCCGTTAATATTGCGTGATGATCACCGCAAGCGATATGAAGTATTTTTAATGTCGCGCCAGAAGTTGGCAACCGACTAAAGTTGGAACTTCAGGTGCCTGAAGTTGCACCTGACTGAAATTAGCTCCTGAAATAAATCATCCTGCACGCACTAGCTAGCGGGTTTGGCAGGTGCCAACTTCAGGGACATGAAGTTCCACCATCAGGCACAACAATAATAAAAATGTATAAGTGGACTTTGGCAGGTTTATATTTTCAAGTCGAGGTCCCTAATTTCCGGCTTTAGCCACGACATTTATTATTTAATTTCGCTTTACATTCGTGTTATTTAGTAAATTTAACCAATAAACCATCGATCTTTAAAATTTAAAATTCATATTTACATATAATTTTTTGACCAAATCAAGTGTTTTTTTTACATTAATTATATATAAAACATTTAACGAATACAGCAGTTATGGAAACATCCTGTGTTTGGGATACAAATAAAATCTATATACAAAAATCCAGATGTCCAACGCGTCCATCACATATATTTGTTTGTATATTATTACCCGTTGTTCAACAGCGGATCGAAGCACTTAGCTTATTAAGTTGTAAAATCAATTTGTACGATCTCTCTCGTGCCTATTTAAAATCGCAGAAGCGTCAGCCAGCATTAACTTCAATTCTGTCTTCTCGAAAATCTTGCATTTGCAATATTCTGTTGGATATTCTTTGGAACAAACGGCAAATGTTGCAATAAATCATTAAGAATGTGGCATACCACAATGCAAAAGATGGCAGGAAAAACTTTCAAAATTAAATTGACTAATTTATCTACATGAACAGAAAATAAAATTATTTATAATACTTATGATAGCATTATGCCATTATTGTTATTATTATCATTTTTAAAAACACAAACCTGGATGGTTATCATAAAATTGTTTAATAACATTCACTACATTTTCTAATTCAGGCTCAACTGTTGTGCTATCTGAGACATTTTCATAACTTTCATCCTTTAAAGTGCATTTGTTTAATGACAAGATTTAAATTAAAAATTAATAAATATGTGTGTCAAAATATTGATAGAATAATAATAATTTACCTTTTTAGATTCTGCATAAATTAAAAATTTAGGTTAAAAAATTGAAAAAATAAACGTCAGTATACTCCAATAGAATTCAGTTCGAAACAGCAGCAATTTATTTAAAGTAAATGTCTCACCTGATTCAGCACGAACTTTTTCACCCGACAAAATATCGTTTTTATGTATCAATTCATAAACACAATTAATATCAGGTCGATTGTCCGGATTCTTATCCCAGCACTTTTCATAGAGTTCAACGTAAGAGAGAGTGGATCCAGCCACTGGTTCCTCACGCACACCACATATAATATATATCATTTCTACACACTGATTCGGTAATCTTCGTATTCCTTGGCCATTGCTTGAAATTTCCCACATTATTACTCCAAGACTATATATATCAGAAGAATAATCATAAATTTTCCCAAACGTTTTGCATAGTGTATTTAATATAATTGGATCCATAAATTTCATACGCCCTTTTACATGTTGATTCGATAAACTATGGCGTGAAACAACTCTGGAAAGCCCAAAATCAGTGATAACTGCTCTTATTCCCAAATTACTATGATCACTTTTAATAACTACATTCCCTGTGTGCTAAGATAAAGTAATTATTAGTATATATCCAGATGTTATAGATATAGTTGACGATTCAAAAATTCGCATTGTTGCATGCTCCATTTCAATTCGATGATGTAGAATAGCATTTTTAACTATATTCAAATGTTTCTCTGCAATAAATTGCATGCAATATAACCACAATGCAAAGCATAATGCTGTAATTTAATATTTTATTATCAACTATAGTTGTAAAAACAACTATTTCAAGAATTTAAAACTTACCAAATCACGATGCAAAATTTTATTTGTGTGTAGAAAACGAAGACCGCACGTGACTTGCCGTGTAATATTAACCTTTTGTTCCCACTCTAATTGGTTGTGAATTAAATAAGTTTCTAGGTCGCCTTTATCCGCATATTCCAATACTAGGAAAAATTCTTCATTAGGAAGCACTAAATAAAACAAAATATTATAAGCATCATAATGGATTAATAAATGTACTATTAATTAATGATTGGAACCATTTTAACATAAGGCTTGCAAATGTCGATCAAATTATTGGGGCCAAAGTATATTGCGGCTGAATAACGATTAAGTGAATTCTAAGTAGTTTCAATCCCTAATATACATACAATTTACCGAATTCCGACTAAAGTTGATAATGAAAAACGATCTTTTATAGTTAGTGTCTAGAAACGGTATGTACGTAAATAGTTACACACATAATTATCATACCTTGATATTCCAAAAAATTCAATGATATATTTACGGTCAACATTTATATTATCATTTATAGCATAAAATGCTTTAATCTACATAAATTTAAATATAAAATTCATGAAGTTAGATATACATTTAAAAACATGAAAAGATAATAAGCCAATTTTACCTCTTTAACAAGCTCTTCGTGCTCAAATTGATCTATTTTTGATGTATCAGGTAAAACCTTTTTTAACACTACTTCCTTCTCCTTCTTTATCCATACAGCTTTCTTGATAACACCCGAACCTCCAGTGGTAAGAGATTCAATATTCTTAAACTCAGTGTAGTCAATCGAATTAATATATTTTTTTTTAGTCATCATTTTAATCCAATTTCTTTTTGATTCCCTATCAATTTCAGTAAGCGGAATCATGTCGGAAGAGGGAATTTGTTGTTCTGCCTGCATATTTGCAAAAAAAAAAAAAAACAGAAACACGTTTAATTTTCTACAAATTTTCGCAACTGCCACATATAAATCTAATGCATCAAAATTTGAAAAATTCATTGTTACATCATCAATGAATTAAGTAATCATAAAACCCCAACAAAATCTAAAGTTTGTCCTAACCCTAAAATTTAAGGTTAAACTTTGTAATGCATGCCGTAGACTGCTGACTGCTATAAAATTAAGAGGTTATGCCTAGGTATAAACAATAAAGGACCTACAATCAGTAGTTTACCGTAAATACGTTCGCTATTCATAATTTGTGATCATCATTATGTTATCACTATTACTATAGATTATTGTCGCCGATTAAAGAACTGAAAAATTGATATTACTTAACACCTACTTACCTCTGAATTTGACCCCTAACCCTAAAAAATTCATCCCAAAAATTTTTAATCTTTTGTATCTTATTAAACTATTTAAATCGAGTTTTATTTTAAATTTTTATTTTAATTCTTAGGAAATTATATTTTAACAATAAAAATTTTAAATATTATCTGTTTCATCTAGAATGTAACAACATCTTAGCATTTGAAAATTATAAAGGGCAAGTAAGGTAATTTATATAATTTTATATAAAAAAAGACGAAGATATGCGAAACAATTTATTCGACATAATTCGACCATTACGGCCAAGGATATAAACCATTCGCTCATCAGTGAAAAACTTTTGTTAGTAAAATGAAAACTAATGTTAGAAATTCACGAACAGTCCTTTTGACAAATTTTACTTTTGATCTACTTTTCGATACCTAAATGTGCACTAAAATATCTCTACTTTTGGTTCCAGACTGTCATGTCAATTATACTTTTAAAAATGTTACATAGGCAACTCTTTTTTTAAAAAAAAATTATTACGCGAATATGGACGCCATTGTTGTTTAAAAAAAACATGTTGCATGAGTAGAAGTTTTGCAAAAAGTTGTAACATAAGTATCATTATAAAAAATGTTCATTGCACTAAAATTTTGTCACGTGATTGTAGTTATCTTTAATGTGTTTGGTTGAACTCCCCTAAGTATTCGCGAACAACAACTAAAGGCTCGACACGTGAGTTGCTGTGGATTGTTCAGCTGTAGGCATATAGATATTAATATACATTTTCAGTGAAATTTTTCCATTGTTTGTTAAAATATTAAACATGGATCTTACCAGCCTGTTCATGGCAATATGAATATTGTTTAACTTTCGCTGACAGAAAAAAAACTTAGAATACGGAAAAAACTGAATCATAAAGCCAAACTTAAACATTATGCATCAGTATTATTATATATCAATATATAAAAAAAGCTTATTTCGATGGTTCTACTTGTGGATATTGATCAATTTTTTATAGCCAATTTAATCCTCGGTCAAATAGTTTCTTTACTAACTTAATTGTCTTTGATATATTCAGTTCACTTTCTATTAAACATTTCCAATTAAAAGAAAGAGTTGAAGAAATTTCATTAATAATTAGTTATTTAAATAAGTTTTGATTCAATCTAATTTCTTTATCCGTATTGATAGTTTAGCTTTAGTTCACAAAAAAAAATTAATCATCATCAGTTTTATGGTTTTCTTTTTATTTATAATTTTCGGCTTTACAAAATAGATTTAAAAGTCCTCAGTTGCTAAAATGCGACATATTAAAGAAGATTTCAAAATAAACGAATATCGATTTGTAAAAAGTAGAAACATAAAAAGAATGAAATGTTTTTTATTGATATCGAAATGTTAATGCGCATCGATGTCGATGACCCTGAGAAATAATCCTTTTTCATAGTCACAATCACTCACGTGTTGAGTTTTTTGTTTGCGTGCTGGGAATTTTTGCTTTGGTGATTATCGCACAAATCAGTATCAAATTAGTTTTATATAACGGACTTCATTTAACGTGACAATTATCATATACAGTCAAACCTCAGTTATATCACCCCTTTGTCCAGAAAGCTCTTGTGACAATTGTTAATAACTTAGGATGTCTATTCTGCTAAATGGTAGGAATATAGATATAACTTAGTGGAGATATAATTAATTTTCAGATTGAAGAAAATTAAAATAATTATATATATTAGGAAATTGATGGAGAAATGAAGAAAATCTAATACAAGATAATATTTGTAATTCAGTGTTTCTTAAGTGTTTGAATTAGGGTGAATTATCACTTATGTCAGAGTATATAATGATAAGTGAAATTTCATGTGATGATTCACAATAAAGTTTTATTTGCCCAACAATTAGGTTTAGGCTCGGCAGTTGTTTTTAAATGGATCTATTCTATTCCTATTTTAGCCAAAACCTTGTATTGTCTTGGAAAAGATTATTTGGAGACATTACGTAATCACTCAGGGCACCATGGAATCTTCTTAAGAACCAAAAAATACCAAAGCGAAAGGCTATTACTAATCATTGAGAACAAGCGATAAATTTCATTAAACTTACCTTGCATCATTCATAAAAAAAGCAATTGGTTAACTAAAGTTGGGATATAGTAAAATTTCTCAAGGAATTTTTTTTGTTAAAATTCTTTATTGGATAATTTGTTCGTAATCGCATAGTAATTTAAAGCGGGCAAATTCACGTGATCACAGCCAATCAAAATATGGAATTTTGATGATCGCCGTCGAGGGAGTATGATCGATTCTACTGTCACGTGATACTCAGAAAAAAACGTTGTTGAGCGAAAAACTTCATTAATACCTGGATTAGAGTTATGTTAAAGTTAGGAAGAAAGATAATTTAGCAAAATTGCACAAGGAAAAATTTATATTAGGACTCCAAGGATGGTTTACTAGCTAAATTTTGAGATAAACGCGATTTTTGCAAAGCGGACGTTTGATTTGAATTTATTTATTTGATTAGTCGATAGACGTCGGAAAATCATGTGACAGTAAAATCGATCCTACGCCCTGGCGTTGTTGGCGGCGAAGCAAAACAAGTAAACAAAAACGAAAAAACCTAAAAAATGCAAAAACGCAGTCTAAACTTCGGGTGGCTTAATTAAAATGTCGGGAAGGTAATTTTGCTTATATATAATTGATCTAACCCTAATATAAGATGACCCTAACCCTAAAGTTAATCGCGAAAATTATTAAAAAATATGAGTTCCCCCGCTTTAGGCGTCCTCCAAATTAGGGGTCGCTTAAAGCCGTGTGCGTTTAATATATAAATCACATGTTGCATAAGTTATATTCTTGACTATGCATTCTTGTAATAACATAATATAATACATAACGATAATAACTTGCCATGGATATCTATATAGGCCAACTACCTAACTGCATCAAAAAAGTGCCTCTGCACTAGTGATGTGCAAATTAGTGTTTTTTCAACTTTCATTCGCATGGAATTTTGGCCCGCATTATAGAATTCTGGCCCGCATTATGGTAGCTTGAT